GAGATAGGCTTAGCAAGGTAAGACACTGTTGATTTACAGAAGAGCTTAGCTTCTGAGCACAGAATACTAAAAAGTATCGAAGGATGAGATGTTTATCTCTAGAAACCCAGTCCAAAAGGTCACTTTTGGGAATGAATCTATAAAACATTTTATAACTAAACAATAAAGTCAATGGCAGCATTCTACTGAAAAGAAACTGATTTTAACAGTAACAGTTCAGAGAGCTATTCAAAATGCAAGCATATTGCCTTTGCAAAGTGCCAAGCATAAGGACCACAACACTATTTTTCAATAAAGCAATTTTTAAGTAGTCTTATCTGAAATCATTCCTGGTAGCAAGTTTTTTAAAAAGCATTCGTGTGCAGGTTCAGGCTATTCTTCAGAAAAAATAAACACTAAATGTATCTGTATTTCAAAGAGCAGACAGCATAAAAGTTTTTAAACATGTAAACAAAGAAATGAGCTCACTGGTAGAGTTCTTCCTTGGTAAATGAAAGGCTTGAGTATGATCCCAGCATCACAAAAACAAAACAAAAATGTTAAAAATGAATAGATGAACAGGTTTTTAGGACTATATTGTATAGTATTATTGTATAATGGTGTCATTATACATTTGTCAATATCCATAGAATGTGCACCACCGAGAATGAAACCTAACATAAGCCACGGACTCTGCATGCTAATGTGTTAGTGTAGGTCCACTGAACAGAACAAATAGGTCACTAATGCAGGTTTGCAGGTTCGGACAGTTGGGATGGGCTATGCATGGGGGGGAGGATGAGAGAGTTCTTTGTACTTTCCGCTCAATTTTGCTATAAACCTAAAGCTGCTCTAAAAAATAAAGTTGAAAGAGAGAAACTACTGTAAAACTGCAAACTTTTTGAGATAGGCAAATATTAAACCACTTTAACTATTTGAAACCATGTAACTGAAGCAACAGTCAGAAGCCACACTGACAAAAGCTAAAATGTCAACTAAGCAAAAGGAGTACATTGGCTTTGGAGTTTAAGTTTCCCACAGGGGATCATAAACAGAATAAAACAGATCAGACCAGGAATATTGACAGCACTATTAAGAGTTAAATCAAAAGATCAAATAAAGTTATTCAGTCCTGCCATATTCACAAACGAAAAGTAGCATTTCAAGTGTATAAAGCTCTAAAAGTATAAACTTTACAAAGGACCAGGAGCTAAAAGCTGCCATTAAAATGACTAGCATTCAAGTTGTTGTCAAAAAGTACATCAAAATGTATTTTCAGCTCTGAGTATCAGCATTTAGTCTGGTAGCTAGTTAGGTTCCATTCCATTTCCTCACCTGAAATTAAGCTCCTAACTCAAACAGTATTTATTAAAATGTCATACAGCTTGATAAAAAACAAAAAAAGGTTGACAGAAAAGGTTATCAATCTTTGACCCCTATATTCTACTCCTGTACTACATACAAGTCAATGTTTTCTTCTAAAAGATGACAAATACCTGAGCACAAGCATATACCCTACTGCAGATTTACATCAGGTTGACACACAAATCTGCTGATCGAACCTTGTCTCTATCGTGTTGTCTACTGTTTGACTTCTACTACGCTACCCAAAGGGGTTGATAAACAAGCTAGAAAGAACTGCAGGAACAGCTCCTCCCATACTCTGAATGCATCTGGATTTAAAAGTGGAAGAAAAGCTTACTTTTCTGAGAATGTCTTTCAGCTGCAGATGATCGGGGAGCAGTCTGCCCGAATACACCAATCTCTGATCCTTCGTCAACTAAGAAATGGGATAAAAAAAAGAATTCAACTTTTCTAATTATACAAATTTAAGGCTGGGGAAAACATGACTAAATATGGGTAAAATAAAACTCTCTTTAGGGACAAATAAGCAGAAAACTAACACAATTTAAGTATTTTTGTTGTCCCAAATTCTGCTTAAGATATTTAAGAGTCCAGCAAATGGTAGCATTATCTATAATAGAATAAAATACAGATTATCACCATTAAAAACTAACAAAAAAAAGGCAAACTGACAGCTTTTTTTTATCAAATGTAATGTAATACATTAAAAGCCTTCAAGCTCATATAAATGAAAAAGCAGTTGGCCTTCAATCAACAGTCAGTAGAAGATAAATTTTCAAGCTCACCAGTTATTTTGCACTGTTTTGTCTGTGATTTGTTTTGTTTTGTTTTAAATCTAAAATGTATATAGATTTACTTTTTTCTTTTCAAACATAATGCAAAAGAACTTACTGGTTTGAGAATCACTTAGATTTAATGGAAACTTTTTGTAACTATTTTAGTTTTTAGAAAAATTCCTGCCACTTACAAATACCATCACACATTCAAAACAGCAAGATCAAAGAAAAATCAACACAAGTACGTGGAGATTCAGCTGCCACCTCTATGAGCAAATCAGAATAGAAAGTATGTGCAGGTTAGTTCTTTATGCTAACTTTATGCTTCATGAAAAATCTGCTAAAGTTCACACAGCATTATTTAAAAACAATGTATTCGTGTTAGTCTCCAAATAAGGCCTATTTGCAAACATCCCTTGAATTCCATGAAAACAACTGAATATTAGCATAACTATTGTTAAATGCAAAATACATGTCATAACTATAACAATTTTTAAACAGACTATATATTCGGCATGGCTATGACAAAAGGATTATAAATTAAAGTCATAAAGAAATTGTTATGTTGAGTGAGATCTGCAGTTCAGGCATTCTTAGGTACCAAAGACTAGGGAAAGGCAAAATGCTTATCTGATAAAATAATTTTAGTGTGCCATTTTTAAAATGCCCAAACATAAATTCTTATATTTAAAAAACCAAATATAACAAACAAGAATTTTTTAATGTCCAAGTCTTGAAAATTCTAGTCTACACATACAAAACCTGGAGCTCTATGACATTAGAAATACACATTTGGTCTTCATCCCATTTCCTGCCATTTAACACCCCTCCCCCCCAAAAAAAATCCTTGTAATCTCTAGATTTTGTTTGCTAATGAAGATGACTGGCATCTAGAAAGCCTTAGATAGTCTTGGATGGGGCTGGTTGCGAGGAGAACCAACTTTATGATTAGAGGAATGTAACTTCTGTCCCAATCTCCAGAAAGAGGGTTTGAGTTAACCAGTAGTCAGTGATCTAATTGACCATTCCTATGTAATGAAATTTCCATAAAAACCCAAATGGATGGAGTTCTGAGAGCTTCTGGATAGCCAACAGAAATATGTTGAGAGGTTCTAGCATGCCTAGAGAAGGACCTGCCCCTTTTCCCCTACTTCGCCCTATGCACCTCTTGCAGATGGCTGTCCAACCAAATCCTTATCCTCTACGGTAAGTAGTTAAGCGTAAGGGTATAAGAGTGTAGGAGGCCTGGAAACTCCCCATTGCCCTTTCCCATACTTTACCCTACGCCACTCTTGCAGATAGCTATCCAGCTGAATCCTTATCCTCTAAGTAGGCAGGGATAAGGAAAGTGTTTCCAAGTTCTGTGAGCTATTCTACCAAATTAATCAAACCCAAAGGGGAGTCTTGAAAGCCTCAATTTATAGGCAGTTGGTCAAAAACACAGGCAAGAGCCTGTATTTATTCAAAAACCTGCATCTGAAGGGGTTTGGGGTCAAAGAGCAGATGTGGGGGACTGAGCCCTCAACCTATGGGATCTGATATTACAGCTTCAGAAGTGAACTGAACTAAAGGACACCCAGCTGATGTCTGCAGAGTTGCTTACTTCCGAGGAAGGAGACATTTTTATACATAGTGGTGATCAGAAGCCACAGAAGTATTTTGTACTGAATGTTCAATTCTAGGAGAAACTGAGGTGGGGGTGTTTTGTTTGTTTTGATATTCTAAAGGCAATGAATGGTAAATTATATAAATACAAGTTAATGCTAAGTAGGCAGTGAGCCACCTGGCCAAATGAGTATCCAATGCTTTATAAACTTGCACAATGTAATTATTACTCTAACTGGAACCTTAAAATGGTCCTTTTGGGAGGCTGGGGAGATGGCTCAGTGGTTAAGGATACTGACTGTTCTTGCAGAAGACCTGGGTTCGAATCCCAGCACCCACATGGCAACTAACAATTGTCCGTAACTCCAGTCCCAGGGGATCCAACAGCCTCTTCTGTCTCCCGTGGGCATTGCACAACACAGGTGCACTTACCTACATACAGGCAATGCACGCATACACATAAAATAAAAATAATAAAATATTTTTTAAGTTCCTTTTGTGTTATAGCATGACCAACTATCATTTTTTCACCAGACCAAACAGTTAATTAGTGGATACTTTTGTTGTACCATCACTCAGCCTCAAGGACATCAGTCTTACTGCATTTTTGTTTTACTTTACTATTAAGAATTTTCTAATACAGAGTGGGTGAAATAAAAAGAACTGCTACCATGTTAAAGAACTCCCAAGTACCCTTATCCAACAACTAACATCATTCTACAACCCTTGTTTAATCCACCTTCTTTCCCCCATCCTACCCTATCCCCAGCAACCCTGCCTCTGCCTCTAGAAGAGAATATCTTAGAACAAATACATTCCTCCTTTCACCTGTAAAGATCTGGTATGTCTCTCTGGGTTGTTGGTTTTTCTGTGTGTGTGTTTTTTTTTAAATAGTTACAATGCTACCATTCAATCATGCAGCTCAATTTTTCTTACAAGAATTCAAACAAGGTTCACACACAAGATTGAGTTATGTCTCAATCTTTTCAGTTTTTGAGACAGGATCTCATGTAGATTACGCAGGTCTCCAACTTGCTATATTGCTACAGATGACCTTGAACTTGTGATCCTCTTGTCTGTCAAGTGCCGAGGTTATGGGTGAGTGCTACCATGCCTGGTTTATGCAGTGCTGACAATCAAGACCACAGCTTCAGACATGCTAGGCAATACTACCAAATGAGCTATACCCCTTAACATCTCAACATTTCTACTTTCCTTTAATTTTTCAACTGTATTTTTGAAATTGGGTCCTTTGTCTTAGAGTTGTATTTCTGGCCTATTTTGGCCAATTGCATCTTCTTGGTACTCCTTTATTATAGTAGACATGGACGCTGATTAGATTCAGATTACATTTTTTCTGAAAGGAGTACTCTGTAACAGTGCTATGTACTTCCTCTGCCACATCACTACCAGCACATGTAGACTTTTAATGATATTGACATTCATCAGTGAGTTCTGATATTCCCAGCTTGATACATCCCTTGTAAATGTCACATCTACCTTATTAATTTCCTCCATTCAATTGTAAAAATTCATTATTTCATTAGGGATAAAAAAAAACTCTTCTTCTAATTCTATAATTCCTTCTGTATTTTTTAGATATGATTCTTCTAGAACCTTACCTCATCAGCTGTTTGGCTACTCAGTCTATAGAAGAAAACAATCAAGATGTACAACTACATCCCTTTGTCATTTTTCATGGTAATTGCCCAAGGCAACCTACAGAATGGCCAATGAGGTTTTTTGTTTCCTTTAATATATTGTGATCTCACAGAATTTTAGGTTTTACAGTGCTGACTTTTTTTTCTTGACACTCAAACTGCACCATTTGGGGCCAGTAGAATCCCTTCAAGTTGTCTCCATCTGTATCTATTCTAATAGCTTTCTTGTTTTCAGAAACAAAATGCTTAGATTTGTCTTCTAGATTTTCTAACCCAGGCCTAGAATCTGTCATTGATCAGGTGCCTTGCATGGAAACAGTATCTAAAGACCAAAATCTGAGAATGGGTAGTGCTTATTTTTATTTGTCTTCTGGGACTCTTCAGTAAGCAAAGCTAGAAAAATCAGTTTTTTAGAAAAAGAAATGTAAATCTTGAGTTCATACTGATATTTCCTATTTCAAATTTTTATTTATATCTTTTCTCATCTTGAAACTCTAACTTGCTAATTGCATTGATAGGTTATTTGAAAATCATTTTATTATTTTATTTATAATCTCAAAACCATAAATACAAGACTGTTACTAAAGATTTTTTTAAAAATCTATAATTTCTGGTAGCTTTTTTTTCTATCCTTAAGATCTATGCCATTAAGTACACAGTCAAAATATTATGCTTCACGTGGGAGCTACAATACCAATCTACCAAGCAAAATGTACCCAGTGGTGCAATAGTGGCATGACTGTTATGGGGGCTGATTGGAATTGAGGCCTACTCCACAGGAGGAATTCATACATGGTACTGTAAACATGGTCAAAGGCACATGGCTGGAAAGGTCATAGGTCCTAGAGGAAACCCACTACTATTGTTTTGCTAAATGTATATGTTGCTAAACTGCCCTCTAAATATTTGTCTTTATACCCACAGATTAGCGTTGCTATCAGCCTTGGAATCAGAGACGCTTCTGTTTGCAGTGAACAATGGTTGTTACTGCAGTCTCATAATTGGTTAAAGTGTCAAGAATGATTATTGAGTGTTCAGCCCTAAGTGGAGTGTCTAAATCACCCCTTCCAATGCTCAGGAAATGCTGTAGAAGAAGGGGTGCCAAGAAAGCAAAAGCAAGAATGGAAGAATGCTGTGAAATGCTATCTTCTGGACATGATCTGGCTATTCAATCCTGAACTCACAGCAGCTATGGCTCTCTATACAGACCCTAAACAAGACTGAGCCTCAACATTTCATCATGGGTGGGGGAGGGGCTCACAAGCTCACTCCACTCTGAGGGGGCAGTAAGTGGTTGCTGGGGGAGGGGAGTCATATTTTTCAGTGGTGTAGCCATTGGTAAGCTGTCCTTACTCAAGTAAATAACCCTCTGT